CGTGGCGCCCGGCGGCCGGTTGAGGGGGTGGCGAGGCCCAGAGGGCCACCTGCCGGAGGAGGAGGAGGATCGGAGAGGAACTCAGGGAGGCCTGCCTGGAGGGGGCGGCTGGACGGCCCGAAACGCACACGGGTCTGGCCACCGCTCGCCCCTTCGCGCACGTGCCCGGCGGACTTTCAAGGGCGCGTGGCGTTCAAATCCCTCTCCAAGAGCCCACCTGGAGGAGGCAACCGCGGATCCCGGGGCGGTCGTGGCCACACGGGCAGAAAGGCCGGGAATTTTCCGCCACCTGCCGCCCTGCCCTCTGCACCCCGCCGCCTTATTATCCGTTTCAGGGAATCGTTTTCCCGTGTCCACTTCTCCGACCCCCAAGACGGACACATCCCTGAAGGACGCACGGCCTTCGCGGCTCGCTCCCCGTCCCCCGTGCGCCATCGGCCTCTCCCCCTCCCAGGGGTCCCTCTGCGGCACCAGCGGGGACCCCCGGGGAGCACGCGTGCCTCCGGCTCCTGCAGCCAAGGCTGGACCGAGATGGCGCAGGGGGCCGGGGCAGGCCCCCCAGGTGACCGTGAGCCGCGCACCTGGGCTCGCGCACGCCAGCGGAGCAGAACGTTTCACGCTCCACCGAAACCCCGGGCCCATTTTTAAACCGGTTTGAGGAAGCTGTTTCTGCACATGCGGCCGCAGATGGCAGGGCTCCTGCGGAAGAAGCGACAGCAGGTCAGCAAGTCGGCGCTGCGGACGGAGCCGCGAGTCCCGAACTCGCGAATGCCGAACTCGCGAGTCCCGAAGGCTGGGTGTGCGGGCCCCTCGGGCGCACGGGCCGAGTGTTTCCTGCTCAGAGATATTCGGGGCCCCCGCCCCCACCCCCCCCCCCCCCCCGTGACGAAGCGGCCGACACACAGGCAGGACGGCCCCGGGCACGGCCCTCGGAGCATCTTTGGGGCTTCCCTCCGCGCTGGACCATGAACCGGACGTGAGGCCCGTGCCCGGTGGGGGGGATGCGGCTGCCTGATGCCCCGCTGGGCGCTGGGCCCCTCGCCGACTTCAGGAGCCCCTGCGTCTTGCACACGCCGCCGTCGACTGCGCAAACCGCAGCTTCGTCCACCTGCAAAGTTTGCAAAGCTGCAAAACCCAAGACCGGCCCTGGAGCCAGCAGCGAGGTGACAGACACAGGCCTTGACACCCGCAAACCGGGTCCCAGGGCTTCCTCCCACGGGCTCCTCAGACCCCGCGGACGTTCAGCTGCCTGCGGACACTCGCGGTTGCGTTTTCTGAGACCCGAAGGCATGAGAGGAAATGGCTTCTGGGGTGAACGCAGCCCAAGGGAACTGCCCAGCCCCGTGCAAATGGCCTGAGGCCACAGGACCCCCACTCAGTGCCCTCAACC